GGTCTTATTGTTCTGAAATGATGCCTTGTTTAGGTATGTCAGAGAAATTGTTAAGAATGACTGAATCATAAGATATGCTGAAGATTTACAGAAAATCTTCAGCCTCTGCTTTAATGATTCTCTAGTCAAATAAAGATCAAACTTGGTCTAGAAAAAATCTGGGATGTTCCCCTCAGCCCCACCCACTTAGTCCCCATAGAGAGAAACAAATAGAGGGATAGAGTGGTTGTATCAATTTTATGTTTTGTAAGACAAAGAGTTGAAGGTGAGGTGAAAAATGTGAAGATCCACTTGTCCTTAGAGCTCACTACTAGCATTAGCTCCGTTAGTCATCATGACTGCCTCCGAAACAAAGCACCAGACAGCTTATGCAACCAGGCACAGAGAGAAAAATAAGGCAATTGGAATATTTTGTGCATAAAAGGAAATAGACAATACTCTCTTAACAGTGTACTGGAAGGTAAAAATAGTAATGTTGGTAACTGGGCAGTGCAACAAGATGTATTTATTTTCTGCCCCAAACTCTTAAGGACTTCTAAGTTATTCTCTCAATTTAAAAGCTTGCTAGGCAAGAAAAGTTTGAACAACAAAATGTATTTATATACAACATAAATAACAGGAAAAAGGAAAGACTTTTACACAGTAGACTTGCAAATAGTGAGCTCTGCCTGATAAGAATGTAGAAATTAAAAACATTAGAATCCAGAAAATAAAAGAAATCCTTAATGTAAATTTAAAAAGAATTTAGAAATGATGTCAATACAATGAAAGAAAGAATATATGTATAATATCATATATATAATATCATATATATATATATATGATTGGAAAATAACACGGTTTAAGAATGATTAAACTGTCCCTGCAATGGCTCTTATATTTCAATGGCTCTATCAAATTATTAGTGATTGGCTTTGAGGCAAATGTTTGGCTGAATCATAAATGACTTTTTTATTGTTTCTTGGTACATTTTAGGTATTCAATATGATGACATTCACCACTGGGAATTTGTACCTTTACATGATATATCTTGGTTCTTATTTTTTTCCCCATTCCCCTGCCCTCCCTTCAACCCCTCCATCCTTCCTATTTACAAAGACTTTGTTTCTGTTTTTTCCTTTTCTCATATTTATTCCTTTCCCTTCTTTCCTTTCCCCTACCTCTCCCACTTTCCCTTCCCTTTTGGACCTTTTCTTCCTATTTTACATAACAATAAATGATTATTAAGAACACTTTGATTTATACATATCCCTTGCATCAATTTCTTAAAGAAAACAGGACACTAAGAAAATAGAAGATTTGAAATTATTCCTTAATTCTTTTGCAGCTTACATATGGGTGTGGGTGTGACTGGAGACTGAAATCAGGACCTTTATGGAGAGCTGCATCTTCAGCCCTTTTTTATTTTTTATTTACATTCTGAGCCAAAATTTGTGACCTTCCTGCCTCAGCATCCCCAAGAGCTAGGATTATAAGCACATCACACAATACCTAGGAAAGTAACTTAACTTTTACATACAAAAATCCAAGGCAAATTAAATATGTAATCATATGTAAATCTTGATTGATTTTGGCTTTATATCAATTTTTTAAAGTAAAACTTTGTAATACAAACCCAGACAATGAGTCTTGAATAACTTTAAATGAAAATCACACATTACAGAATGCACCCTGCAATCTTAATTTAGTCAGTTGCAAAGTTAAATTGTCAGTTCTAACTTACTGTGACACCTAATTTTTTAAATTAAAAATTCCTTCAAAAACATTTCATCTGCAGTGCCCTAATAGGCCATTATTCAACCTCTCAGATATCCTGGTGACTCTGAACTCAGGGTCACCAAGCAGGCTCCTCTCTTGCACATGCTCTGACTTTAACACACACATACTTCCTAATTGTGAGCTGACTTTGGCCTGATGGAAAGTTCTAGCCTTGACCTTGGCTCCATATTCTGAAGCTCCAGCAAATAACTCCAGTTCTTCTCATATTTCCCAAATCATCCTACTTTTCAGGGTATTTGCAGTATTATCTAATCCTCTTGGGATTATACCCCCAAAGAGTTGGAGCTGACAACTTCCAACCTACAGTGGAAACAATCCATCATCATTCCATCAATCACTGTCGCACTCAGTGGACAAGTGCAATCTCTTCCTCCCATGCTCACTGCCCTCTGTCTTTCCCCCATTGAGCAGTCAGCATGCTCTTTGCTAAAGAAGATGTCCCTACTGTGTCCCAGTCTGCCGATCATCCTTCAGTCCTCTCCTCAGTCCTCAAGATAATGATTCAGAACCCCAGCATGGCCCATAGCACTATACCACCTGGCTCTTCTTATCCCAAACAGCCTGAGTCTATTTGCTGCTGAATCTTCTCTTCCATACCTAACATGTTATATCTTGACTTTGTTCCCATTCCTCAAGTGAAGCAGCTCTTTCCTCAGCAAAGCCTGTACAAGTTCTGTCCTATGAAATGCTTTCTCCAGTCTGCTTACTATTTAAGAATTACTGATTGTTCAAGTTTTAGATTACATGTTCTGTATGTAGATAAACATTCCCCAAATCCCTCTTGTCCTTCTTTAATCTCTCATGGACCCATTTACTGACCTTCATTGCTTTTATCATAATTTGTTTTATATACTTAATTCTGTAAATAATATAATTACTGCATTATTATAATTTTCATGGTATTATAATTATATTAACATTATTAATATCTAATTTATTGAGATTACTGCATGCTAGGTAGCATGCAAAGTGTTTCAGAAGCATTATCTTACTTAACCTCATGAAGAAGTTACTATTGCTGCACAGATGAGAAAATTGGGCTTGGGAAAGTTAAATTGCATGGAAGAAGAATTAGAAGCCAACTGATCTCAGAACCTAGTGATGCTCCTGCCCTTTACACTGTGGTCTTGCTGACTCCTTCATTAGTCTAGTACTCCAAAGGAGCATGAGTACTGACAGACAAAGAACCTAGCAGAAGACATTATGGTTCTGTTGCCCAGTTTCACAAATTTGGAGCAGTATCTGTGAACCTTCTCTGCACTGCACTGCCTTCCCCTGCCCTTTGTGGCATGCACATACCTACTAAAAGGAGAAATTAATTGAGCCAATATGGTACTTTTGTCTTGACATCTCTTTAGACTTCTTCAATTTTTTAAAGGTACTTTTCAAGAAAATAAATGACAGAGAACACATCGTGGAGATAAGCTGTTTAAAGGCATTTGTCTGGATGCATTAGCAACAGAGCATAATCCAAAAGGTGGGATTCAGATGCTTTACAGAGAAGTTTCAACTAATTTCTCATAAATATGAATAATGATAATTACCAAAATTGCTAAAGTATTTAACATTTGCCAAGCTCTATATCACATGGTTTCTAATGTTCTTTGGAGAATCATCGTATCAGCCTAATGAGGCTGGTTCTATTACAATCTCATTTTCTAGATGAGGAAGTAGAGTTGCAAAACTCTTTGGCCAGAATCTGATTAGTAGGGCTTCACATCAACTACACCTGTCTCCAGAGCTTGAGGCTTGTAATGCAGTAGGTCAGTATTATTCCAAACAAGAAAATGTTCAAGAAATAATCATACAAACAGGTGAGGAGTACCTATTAGTACAAAATGGTGAGCCAGGAGGAGAAACCAAAGAGAAAAGGGAATAACTACAGAAATACATCAGTCACAGGCCACAAGAGATGGGGCTACATGCAAGGACTGATACCAACCCAAGGTTTAAGAGATCTGAGAAGGGGTATGGAAAGAAAATTTTATCTGGGGTAACTAGAATTTCTACAATCTTAAATAATGAGGACTCAGTTTAGCTCAATGGAGCAGAAGAAATTATCTTGGGCCAACTTAAGTACCAAAGATGGTTCAAAAATAGCAATCACCCTTATAAATGAGAGTCATTCATTCACACAATTATATTTATTAAAGATTTATTATGTGACACGGCTGTGGGCATTGAACCAAGGTGACAAAATTCTTGCTTTTGAGTTTACTTTTTGCTGAGGAAGAGAGAGCCAACTGACAAATAATTGTGTATGCATATATATGATATTTTGGCAGTATTGGGTGCAGTGAGGTTTTTTTTTTGTTTTTTTTTTTTGAACCGGGGATCGAACTTGGATCCTTGCACTTGCGAGGCAGGCAGCAGAACCACTGGGCTAAATCCCCAGCCCTGGTGCAGTGAGTTTTATAAAGCAGGCAAGGGAGCTAGAAAGCACCAAGAGGTGGTAGTGTTGTCAGGGTGGGCTCCCTGATCAGGGGACATTTCAGGAGAGACACAAGGGGAGTAAAGGTCAGTATCATTCATATACCTGAGAGAAGAGAGTTTCAGGAAAAAGCAACAGCAAGGACAAAGGTAGAAAGAGATGGCTAGAGCATCGGGAACTGGAGGGGAAGTGGGAGAGGGGCTGGGTGAGAGAGTGGTCAGCGGGGACCGCCCTGTGGAACCACAGACACTGGCCAGAACTTTGCAAGTGCATGGGGATAATGATTCTCATCACACTACAGCAATGAAGGCTACAGCTTCTAGAAAATTTATTATAAAATACAATATTACTAATTTAATTAAAGGAATAAAAATGTACCTATAACTTTATCACCTAAGATGGCCTTTTCCAGTTTCATTTGTCCTTGTCCTGACTTTTTCCATATTTGTGCATATTTTTATGGTTTCTTTCATAGTTACAAAGAGTTTTACATGCTCATCAATTAACTTAGGTCCTTATCACGTGCATTTTACAAGTTAATATGAAGGCTTCCAAATAAATATTTTATTTATGGTAGGTATCTATTTTGGGAGAGAGGAGAATTGGGGAATGAACCCAGGACTTTCACAATGGGCTACATCCCTGGCACCCCCCCCTTTTTTTTTGAGGCAGGGTCTCATTAAGTTGCCCATGCTGGGCTTGAATTTGTAATCCTTCTGCCTCACCTCCCAAAGTGGCAGATATATATTTCTTGGTGATCTGTAATGTTGAGAGTTGTGCATCTGGTTACCTGCTGATGGTGCTTGTCACTTTCTCAGAGTAAATACCTTCTGGCAATGGTTCATATACCGCCTCCACTATCTGCAAAACAAACAGACTAAAGTGATAGAAGTAAAAGGGCCCTGGCTCTCTCTCCGAGGTAATACTTACACACGACAGGAAGTTACTAATGAAGCAATATAGCTCCATGCACAAAACTTAATCACAAATAAAAGCACTGCAAATAAATAAAAACATAGCATCAATTAAATAGTTCTAGAACATGGAATTAGATTCTTTAAGCTAAGTTAAAGTTAAACTTAGGTTCATAATAAAATGAAGTATGGGATGATATAATATGTTTGCTACAGGCAATCTAAATTGCAATTAAAAATAAAAGGTCAAAAGCATTTTGATATATTTATTCTTCAAATTTTCTATGATAAACTAATACAATTAAATAGAGGATTATGCCATACCATGTGATATATATTTATAAGAGGGAAAAGCAAACTGGACCTTGCAGTTAATAAAACAATGCCTGCTTTTAATTGGATGTTGTATAAAAATCACAAAGGTTCTGTTAAGAAGAAAAGGAATGGTGCTGGTAGCAACACAAGCCCCTTTTGTGCCCTGTCATGCTTACTTTTGTAGCCAGGGAGAGCATGTTTGTGCTGTAGAAGGGAGGCCTCAGAGTCGCCATCTGATAAAGGATGCAACCTGCAGCCCAGACATCAGCCTTCTCCCCATAGGGCTCACTCTTCAGTACCTCTGGGCTGAAATAAAATCAGGATGTCAAAAGATACCGAGGAAGGGAGAAAAGCACAGAAAGAAGATTCAATTTTCAATCTGTAGATGGAGATATTTAAAAAATATTTGAAACTCTTAATCACTATTTCAAGTCAATGTACTACAAAAGTACCTCTGAAATCTCTCAGCCTCAGACGAATTGAGAAGCACAATCAAGCAATGCAGTTAAGCACTAAATATCAATAAACCATACAAATATAACCTAGTATGTGTCCAAGGATGTGTCAGCTCCAGTTCTTTCTACTGTGGAGGTCTATGGATCCTTACCTTTGCTGAAGCCTGTTGCTGGCCACTGTTCAAACCCATTCTTGCCTTTGGTTTGACTGTGTTTATGTGGTCAATGGAACGCAGAAGCAACTTGGTACAAGATCAGAGCCTTGGTCTTAAGAGGGATTTCATGCTTCCTTCCATTTGCCCTCTAGGAGATTCTGTCTGCTACCAGGAGAAGGTATCCCAGGTAGCTTCTCCATTACAGCCTAGGCCTGCCCCAGTGCACATAGAAGATTTAACCTAGACAGTCTAGAATTATACCTGCAGCCTGAAACCTGCAGAACTGCAGATCTGTGAGTCTAAGAATAAATTCTTATTGTTCAGTGTCACAGAGATTTCTTGGTAATTAAAAATGCAGCATTATTATGGAAAAACTGACTGATATGGCCTCCTCTCTTTGCTATTCAACCTAGGTTATAAAGCAAGAGGAAGCTCATATTTAAATATGTTGCAGAAAATGAAAAATCTCTACCATGTTCTCCTCTTCTGAAATTGCTAACACAATTTAAACAACCTTTAAGAGAAGTTGATCTGTAAGGGATTATGAGCTTATCTTTTTAAATTTAATTTTATGTGGAGGGGAGTATATTTCCCTTGGATATTTCAGAGTAGTAGAAGTTTTCTGTATTGTATTTGTAGAGTGAAACTCACCTAAGAACTAAAAGCATTTAACATTCTCTCTCTCTCTCTCTCTCTCTCTCTCTCTCTGATATAGTTTAGATCTTTAATGTCTCCCAAGGGTCCATATGTTCAAGGCTTGGTCACTAGCCCTACTCTTTTTTTTTTTTTTTTTCACTAGCCCTACTCTTGATTGGAGAATCTTTTGGAGGTGGGGCATAATGGGAAGAAGTTGGGTCATTGCAAATGTATCTAGACCCTCTCTATTTTCTCTTTTTTTTCTGACCTCCATGAGGTAAGGAGCTTCCTCAGGTGTGTGCTCCCACCATGACATGCTGCCTCACCACATCCCTAAATAAGTAATGGAGCCCATGGACCATGGAATGAAAACTCAAAAACAGTGAGTTAAAATAAAAACGTTCCTTTTCTCACACTGAGTATCTCAGGTATTTTCTTCAGAAATGAAAAGCTAATATATACAAATACACCTAAATTAAGTAGTTTGATAATCCAGATTTATAAAATGAACTTAGTTGTGCTTAGTTTTCTAAATTAAAAGAGTACAGATCAATAGTTAGCTTTGACGAGGGTTAAGGTATAAAAGAACTTACAAATCAGCATTAAAACAATCAGGGTAGGCAGAAATCAGAATTGACTGCAAAGAATAATCAAAGAGATGCTATTCTTGTTAGTGCTGAGAATTATTCCCTGTTTAAGATTTACAGTATATATTCGCACAGGAAAGAGTGATTACTAGGTCTTACAGTTAAGCATTTTCATATTTAATATTTTAAGTGCAATAATATACAATGGCGAATTTGGCCTGAAATTTCCAAGGCTCTGCTGGTTCTAAGTGCACAAAAAGTGTTCATTACTGTCCCATCATCAACTGCTTACATTAAAAAATGCCTTAAGAAATAACATCCTCAACAGAAAAAAAAATCTTTGATTGCCCACAGCCTAATTTCTCATGCTCTCATGTCCTAAGCACTTAGAAAATTTTCTTCTTTCCAAAGCTCAGGAAGTAGATGTTGTGAGTGGTCTACCCATATTGCCTCAAATTTTTTTTCCATTTCCTATTCCTAGTGTGCTTTAACTCCCAACAGCTAGCCAACACCTGCACTTCTTTATAGAACAGACTTTAATTACTTTTTTAATTAAAAGGCAATTTTTGAAGGGGGGGGTACTTGTAAAAATAGAGCTTTTCTAGTTTAATTTTCTCATCCTTACAGCTCCTCCTTTTACTCACTAGAGACCACACACTCCTCCCTTTTCCCACAGTCATGTTCCTTTGCAATATGGCTTTGCATGTTATTCAAACTTTGAATCTGGGTATGCTTATGTGACTAACTTTGGCCAATGGGGCATCAGCAAAAATGGTACACGGAAAGACTTGAAAAGTATTTTCTGAAGAGCCTTGATCTCTCTTCCTGCTCTTGGAATCCCTGTGAACAGTTCCATGTGATTACACATAGGCTCGCCTGCTGGAAGATGAGCAGCTGTGGCCAGTTACCTGCACTGACGCTGCCCACAGCCAGCCACCACCAGTCATGAGTGATGCCAGTGACAACCAAGTGACCACACACATAAGTGTGCCCTGCTGACACTATGATCAGCAATCTCTGCTGGTAGCCCTATTTTTCAGCATACAATATACTGAAAGAAAAAAAATGGTGAACCACAAAATTAACAAAATTAACTTTTATTAAAGTTAGCTTTCATCAATTCTCAAAATTGTAGATGTATCCCCAAAAAAGATTAAGAATCACTTTTCTGGAAGATAATAATAATGGGAAATAATAAGACATAAATAACACACTTGCCAACTATTATATTGCTTCTGTGATAAAACTTCAAATAAAAAACCTTCATAATTACTTCTATACACAATGATTAACAGAAAACAATATCTGAGTTACATCAGGCATTACAAAATATTCTATGATCCTCCAAAGTTCATCCCCTGACCCTCAAATGCATGTTTTGAAATCCCAACCCCAGTACCAGAACACAACCATATTTAGAGAAAAAGTCTTTAAGAATTAAGTTAAAATGATACTGTTAGGGTGGTCTCTGACTCAATATGACGAGTAAACTAATAAAAGGAGGAAGAGATGCTAGGATCATGGGAGCACAGAGATGACTCTTCAGAGAGGTAGTGAGAGAGTGAATGTCTTCAAGCCACGCACAGAGGCTGGAAGGAGACAAGCCCAGCTGACACACTGATCTCGGACTTCGGTGTCCAGAACTGCCAGAAATAAATTCCTGTTTTAAGCCATCCAAATCGTGATATTTTGTTATGGAAGCTCTAGCAAATAAATACAGGTTCTATAAAAAAAAATCTACTCATGTTTTTCATCTGCAAAAAGAAACCAACCTTTGGGAAATACGGCTGAAGTCATATTTAATCACTAACAAATAGATCATATGACTAGAGTATGTGATTATTGTTTAGAAAATCATTGTAAAATAATTCCCTGTCTTATAATAATTTCCAAGTTATTCATTTAAGGTGAATCCAAGAAAACTGGGGAAATAGAGTTATGGATAGCAATGCTTCATTTAAGAGAAAAGTTAAACATAATAAAAATATATAAACACCTAGAATTTAAATAGGTTTTCCATTTCCAAGACAAAAAATAAAATTCTTTTAAAAAGTGCTGAGTAATTTGGTCATGTAAAATAGCTTTAGTGATAGAACAGAGCATATCTTATGTAATGTTTAACAAAACAGGGGCTCTTCCAGCAAAGATTAAAATATTTGCAATTAAGTGTGTAAAAATTGTAACTATTGTTGTTGTATTTCCATTAAAAATGTTTATATAAAGTATAGCCAAAGGCAGTATAGAGCTAGATATATAAATTTTCATATACATATTTTAATTAGTCAATAAGTAAACTAGTAATCAGCTGCTTTTGAGAAAAGGACAGATTAAAATTTTACCAAATATTATATATGATTTAAAAAGGGATAAATTTTAAAATTGTAGTGAAAACTAGATAGGAGAAAAATGAGGGAGGAAGGTTCTTTAATCTAATTAAGGAAAAAAGACAAACTGTTTAGATATTTAAATTTCATTAGTACACCCTCACCAATATATAAACAATTAAGTTGCTAATTGCCAGTGATTTTTACTTTCTCACTAAATGAGATAAATAAGGAAAATGTTGGACCCGGTATTTTTCAGAGCATTCTAAAATATGAACATTTCAATAATTCTTACAGAATTCAATAATATGATTTATATAACTTTGAGGAGAATTTTTGTCATGTAAATGAAGATCGTACATGAGATGACATGTGAAAAGGTTTTGTGTACAAACAAGTACATCCTTTCTCACAGCTGCAATACTATCTTCTTTAATAAAACTTTATCATGTTCATTTCATGGGCACACATACTAAAACTGAGCTATAGAGAGAAGACTAGTATGGCCCCTGCCCAGGGTTGACTTACAAATGAATGAAGCTTTCCATACAGAAGTAATATGAAATCCAAAAGGAAATATACCTGAGGATGATAGCCTAGGCAATAAAGTTGTTTCCCATAGGGTAAAGTTTGACAATTCTGATAATGCTTTGGAATTGAACAATTAAGCAAATAATGGCAGAAGGCAAGTTTCTCATGTTAGAGCAAGAGGTTACAGGAGCAGGAGTTCTAGAGTTGGAAGCAATAGTATTAACCTATGATAGGTTAATATTGATATAGAGGTCATACAGAGAGAAGTAGTTATAGATATGTATATAACCCCAGGTTAGTATACTATTTATCTCCTTGCTCTGTCAGCTGAGAAGGTCTAGAAATGATGATACCATGGTAGCAGTGATCACACTGAGCACAAACCTTTGTTTTTAACACCATTCTACACTAAAAAAAAAAAAAAAAAATCAAGCTCCTTGGAAAGATGCCCGCTCTTAGACTGAGGAAAAAAAACCATATGAGACTGTTTTTTAAAAACTCACAATGATGGGAACCTGTTACATAGTTACAAAAGACTACTTAAAGATCTCCTAAAGGCCAAATGTGGAAAAATTTGTACAAGAAAATAAAGTCGTGTATTAGTCAGGTTGGGGTGCT